TGGCTTGAAGGACAGTGCTTTCTTCATCGATTGCCACCTGGCTTTGGCAGCAATGCCATCACCTGCACACCAGCAGAACTGAGCAACGGACCAGGCTGTCCAACCTACAACAAGGTCCCAGCGCAGGCAATCAGCTCCATTAGACGAAATTTGCACTCTTCGGCGCCAGGGTGCAGTGGAAGGGACGAGGGGCAGCACAGAAGGGCAAACAGCATACCGCGAAGCGCCAACGGCAGCGGATGAGTCTTGCCCAGCTTGGTTTCGATGATGGGAACCAGGTCCATCCCATTCGCTCTGGCCACTCCCTGTAGCTCCTTGTAATAGTCCAAAGGCGTGTGGAACTCATCCGGCACCCTGAGCAGCACACAGGCAGGCACTTGGAAGTCGCACGAACCTTTCCAGAGCTCTGAATCACGGGGTTCTCTGCAACCTCAGAACGAGCCACACTGTTTCCATTGCACGACTGGACTGCCACCACAAACGGGTGTGCGGACTGCTGGCCGGGCGCGCAGCGAAGCCCTGCAGCCATCTGTCTGCCGGCGCCTTGCTTGCACACACTGCTGACAGTCAGGCTGGGTGTCCAGCGATAAACAACAAGGCAGCCCATGGCACTCCTCCAGGACCACCTCGCTGCGTGTCCACACCCACCGAACAGCACAGCCAAAGCAACACACACCAGCACCGGCTTGCCACCAATCAGTCATTCAGCACCATGGCCACTCACTTCTTGTAGACGATCGCCACCTTCTCTGGGCCCAGCTCCCCCTTGATGTACTCATCCAACACCTTGACATCCGCAAGGGCCTCCCTCCTCTGCAGCTCGACCACCAGCGGGTGGTCGTCTCCAAGCCTGGTGGCCAAGGTCTCCGTGACGTCCACATCTTGTGTATCCCCCTCCAGTCTGCCGCTCAGTTCTTCGTAGAAGTCCGCAGGTGAGTCAAAATCATCAAGAGCTCTGGGGCGAAGGCATAAAAGGAGCGCTTGGCAACACAGGCAACCTTCAACCCATCACCACTCAAGCACACCACACAGTGCGTGGCGCACACCAACTGCGTGGGATTGCCAATGGCAAATCGAACAAAGGATCAGGCAAGGAAAAAAAAATGCTGCGTCACACTGGGCGCTGCCTTCCAGATAGCACCATTTGACGTAGCACCCCCACAGCAGCCTCTTCCCAAACACAGCTCCCTTTGATGGGAGCAACAGACTGCCGACAGACCACTGGTTCTGGCATACCAATAGCAATGGATACCACCACAGGGATACACAGCTTGCAGAGGAGTCCCAACGTGCAAGCTGTGCTAGCAACAGTGCTCAAACACACGTATCGACCCAAGTGGTCAGTGCAGCATGACGATCCAGGGAACATGTCCATGGGCCCGATCTGCCTTGTCCAACCTAGCTGAGTGCAATCTGGAACAGGGTTGCGCCCAAAGATATGATACCAGGCTCACCTGTTGAAATATTTCGTTGGGTCGATCTCTAACTCTGTGAACAACTCTGCCAGTTCATCGTTCAGCTCCCCCACCTCGGGTTTCGTCAAAGCTTGACCCCACACAGGCTGATCGATGTACGTGATGACCACCTCATCACACGGCTCTGGTTCCTGGCCAGCACCGCCCATGCTCGGCGCCATGGACACAAGTCCTCCCTCTGGGTTGTCCCTTGCAGCAGCTGGAGTGCCCTTCTCCACTCCTGGCAAGGCCTTTGCAGCGTTGGGCACACCTTCTGTGTCAGCTGGGCCAGGCTTTGCGACATCCAGCAAGTCCTGGAGTTCTTCTGGTACAACCTTCGCTACTCCTGGTAACACATTCGCCGCATCCGGCAAGCCTTTTGTGGCATCTGGCACATCCTTCGATCCCGTTGGAACATCTGCACCAGCAACAGGCTCCCCCTTTTCCAACCTGTTCGCCTTCTCTGTCGCCTGAACTTCTGCAGGAAGAGGCCACGAGGCTATTCCCCTGCTCTTGACAGGCACAGGAGCCCCTGTATCACTGCCCTGTGGCTGTGCAGGCCTAGTTTGAGCCCCTGTAGGAGAGGCTGATGGCTTGAAGGACAAGGCTTTCTTCATTGACTGCCACCTGGCCTTAGCAGCAATTCCATCACCTGGAAACAGTCGCACCACATAATTTGAAAGGCTGCACTGTTACACAGAAATGGGATACAGTGAGCATCCCAACGCAGATACAGAGACACAACATTTTCAACCCAGCTCAAGCAATGGACCTTTTACCGCTTCAACATACTTAAGGAAAATCGCAATCGCACTGTCACTGGCAATGGTATGAAAGAGTGCACAGTGTGGCAGAGCTTGTGACTTACCACGAAGCGCCATTGGTAACGGATGTGTCTTGCCCAGCTTTGCCTCAATCAGGGGTGCAAGATCAATACCATTCGCCCTGGCGCCTTTCTGCAGCTCCTTGTAATACTCCAATGGTGTGTGGAACTCCTCTGGCACCCTGTGTGGCACACAATTTGATGCTTGAAGACACACAATTTGATACCTGAAGAAGCACGGCTTCCAATAGCCACACATCTGTCTGCCTACTCACATCAGCACACGATGCTACAATACATGCCAGAAACGTCACTTCGAATTCGATGCAGAGTTGCAGGTCCCATAACAACACTCCACAGCTGTCTTCCATATGGCAACATGGAGCTGGCAGGAGTTTGTACAACACAGATACATCAGCAGCTCGCAAAACACTGTCCATCCTGCCAAGCACCACACTGATACAGAGCTGCAATGTGCCCAAAACATGCTGCTGCATGTCAATCACTCAACAAGACAAAACTCACTTCTTGTAGATGATTGCTGCCTTCTCTGGACCAGCCTCCTCCTTTATCAATCCATCGAGGAACCTGACATCCGCAAGTGCCTCCCTTCTGCGCAGCTCAATCACCAGCGGATGGTCATCACCCAGCCTGGTGGCCAGCGTTTCGGAAACATCTACCTCTTGGCCATCCGCTTCCAGTCTCTGGGTCAGGTCTTCATAGAAGTCTGCTGGTGACGCAAAGTCATCAAGGGGCCTAGGACAAATGCAACAGCACCATAGAACCCAGCACATGCTGCACTCAACAAGCACCAATCGTGGATGCCGGACATGAATCACGCAACAAAATAACTGGGGGGCAGTTCCACCTGACAAAACAACAGTGCCCAGCACATGCTTGATTCAGTGGGAAAGCATGCTAGAAAGCAGCTTCATATTTTCAGTTGAAAACTGCCAACAGACAAACATATCTTGCTGCACAAAATATATCAGTATATCACAGTATATCACAAACACTTGTGCAATGAGACTGCCAAAGACAGTCTGTGCACCAGTCACACTGCACATGCATCAGTGCAAAGCATTAGGTACCACACTAAGATCCATGTTGCACTTAATTTCACCGCACTCAATCCACTTCCCACCTTGCTAAGGAAGCCCAGCACAGCGCTTAAAGCCACTAACAAGGCCCACCTGTTGATATACGTCGTTGGGTCAACGCCCAGCTCCTTGAACAACTCTGACAGTTCATCGTTCAGCTCTTCCACCTCATCTTTCGTCAGCGATTGACCCCACACTGGCTGCTCGACGTATGAGAGGACCACTTCATCTTCCGGCTCTGGTTCTTCGCCACCACCGACCAAGCTGAGCAACTTGGACATGAATCCCCTCTTTGGTTTGTCCTTTGCAGCAACTGGAGTCTCTGCTCTCACTCTTGGAGAGTCCCTAGCAACATCAGGGGCAACATTTCCAGCATCTGCCACACCCTTGGCCACAATGGGCAAGTCCCTTGTGCTATCCAGTGCAGCATTAGCAGCATCTGATGAGCCACCTGCTGCATTTGGTACATCATGTGTGCCTTCCGTAGGAACTGGAGTTCCTATCAGCGAATCCTCTGGTGGGCCCTGTGCCCCAGCTTGCAAGTCCCTTGTACCATCAGGAGCACCTCCGGCTGCATTTGGGGCATCTGTTGCCCTAACTGGTGATGCCTTGCTGGCACCTGCTGCCCCTGTTGGTGGCACTGCAGATTCTGGTCCTACGTCTGCGACCCCCTTTGTCACATTGGTTGCCTCCTTTGGCGCCCTATCTTTCCCTGTCTCTGTGGGTGCACCTTGGACAAGTGCTGCTGTGTCACTGCTCTTTGGCTGCTCAGGTTTGGCTGCAACCTCGTGGGAAGATGTTGTTGGATTAAATGACAGCGACTTCTTCATCGACATCCATCCAGCTTTGGCAGCCTCTCCATCGCCTCCAACCACAATAACAAGTAAGCCTGATATAGAGCCGAACAGCAGCAAAGACAGCAGTGCTCCTTTCTTCACCCAATTACAGGAATCGATTGGTATCGCCAATTCTGTAGGTCAACGTGCAGCAAATAACGCCACCATGGCCACTGCCATGAACATGTTGGGGAGTCAGAATCAAGAAACCCACGAGGTGGCAGACATTTGACTGTGTTCACGATTGCAACTGCGCCCACAGACAATTCGACACATATCCAGTTTCTCTGCAATTTTGCTGCAGTCTGCTGCAACAGATGCCATCATGTGGGCTTCTCTGCCACCTGCAACAGGCAGCTTTCCATTGTTGCGTCCTAACTCAGCCTTTTCCAGTGTGTATGTCGAGCCCACAGTGTGTCCCAAAAAAAGATCTCACAACCATTTGGGTTGTCACAGATCTGTAGCCATCTGGAGCATACACCATGCAGGGTGCATAATTCTCACAAAGTAATACTCCATGCCATGCAACAACAGAAAAGGTTCAGGGTTCTCCTGATTCTGCCTTTTGTGCCATTTTCCACAGCAATAAACATACTGCAGTAGACTCAGAGTGAATAAGGAAAGCTGCATGAAAGAAGGTAGTGAACTGTCATGTGACTACTGAACCAACCACTGTCCCATCACAACCAATACACCATGCTGATGATGTACAAAATTTTGCAAAGAATCCAAGTTGCAGCCTCATAGTCATACTAAGGGTATGGTGAACAGCTGCACAGCAAAGGAACCTGAACATAATACAGATGAATAACTCATTTTGGTAGCCATGTGCACCCTGAACTGAAACAGTGCAACTACAGCGCCCGGCAGAAGTAGCACTGATTGGGCTGATCTGAGTAGCTGGCACCGATGATCATGTCAGGTTCTGCATATGACACACAGAATAGACATATAGAGTGCCGCTCATGGGGCCATGCAACATACCACGAAGTGCCATTGGCAACGGATGCATCTTTCCCAGCTTTGCTTCCAGAACAGGCACCAGGTCGAGGTTATTTGCCTTGGCCCATGCCTGGAGCTCTTTGTAATATTCCAAAGGTGTATGGAACTCGTCCGGCACACTGATCAACACACAGAAGAATACTTGAAACGGGAGACCTTCCCATGGCCACACATACAGTCATATCTTTACCCCAATTTATTCCAATTATTCCATATCTTTACAATTGGATTGGAACCAGGTGCTGTATTGCACACAACACACTCATCAACAGGCATAGCCATATCAAGGAGCTGCATGAGCATGGTTTCTTGCTTTATGCCCGTTGCCAATACTGCAGTTTGAGCAAGCGTGAGCACAAATCTCAAGAGGAAATCTGCAGCTGTCACTGGGGACCAACTGTCCTCCCCGCACATCAAAACAACAACTGAACTGCAGCACTGCCAATAATCAACTTCAGGGGATCTACCACTGTGCAAACTACCACTCACTTCTTGTACACTATTGCCGACTGCTCTGGACCCAACCCCTCCTTGATGATGTCGTCAAGCAACTTGACATCGGCAAGTGCCTCCCTTCTCCGAAGCTCCACAACCAAAGGATGGTCATCCCCAAGCCTGGTGGACATCGTCTCAGTAACGTCTACCTCTTGCCCATCTTCCTCGAGTCTGTGAATCAGGTCCTCATAGACGTCCACTGGTGCTGCATAGTCATCAAGAGGCCTAGGACGAATCCCACAAGGCAACGCTTGGCATCAGAAACTAAATGCAACCCTGGCCACCGCACAGGGAGTGCCCGCCTCTGACACAAACTAGGAACCGCGCAATGCCCATATGCTACCTATCGAACCGGCTGCTGGAACTCCCATTCCCCAAGCTTATCCTTACTTTGGGAATGGGAGACCCATGCACGATTGGCTAGCAAGAACCTTCTAAACCCCGATGAGCTGAACGTCGAAATTTGGGGACGTCCAGACAAAATGGCCACGGCGATATACTATTTCCATTACATCCTCAGAGTTGGCACGTGTGAATGGAAATGGCCGCAACCACACCGCGCTCACATCCATATCCCTATTCCCAGGAGAGAGCCCCAGCAGAGATCCCCGTCCTCACCCGTTGGCGGTCAAAGGATACAAATCGGGATGTAAACAGAGGCGCACAAAAGGCCGCAGATCGCGAAGGACCCCACAACATTGGCAGCACAGAGCACGAGCGCGGGCGACAGACGCGGAGCGCGGCACCGCCGTCGCGAATGCGTCAGGGCAAGTGTGCACGCAGGGCAGCGCCCCAGCCACGTCAAGATCTGGGGACGACGGGCCCGCGGCGCCAATCACCCGGGTCCCAGCCCAGGCGCAGCCTCGCCCCCATCGGTACGTCCGCGGCCATCCGCGGCGGGGCGGGGCCTGGGCGGGGCCCACCTGTTGAAGTATTTTGACGCGTCAATCTCCATCGCCGTCAACAGTTCTGTGAATTCTTCGTTCAGCTCCTCCACCTCATCCTTCGTCAACTCCTGCCCCCACACCGGCACCTCCATATACGACACTTCCACATCCTCCTCCGGCTCGGGCTCGGGCCCGCCGCGGCCCATGGCGGGGAGTGCGGATGCGCGGCGCCCTCCTTCGGTGTGTTAGATTTGGTCCCGCTCCCACCGGCGAAAGGCTCTGGTGGCGCCGCAAGGTAGTCCTTGGGGGGGGAGGGTCTCTGGAGCGAAGCCAAACCCGGGCGGGAGAGACGTCGGCGACGCCCGTGGTCCCTCAAGACATGGCTCGAACCGCGGGAAGAACCATCCTGGTAAGATACGCGGGCGGGCCGCGTGGCAAGGGGCCCCGCCGTGCTGCGTCAGACCAGGGGCCCTGCCGAGGCTGATGGGGCTCGGAAAGTTCAGGGCGTCCTGCAGCTCCTGCGGGCGGCCTCCCTGACAGACCACAAATCCCCGCTTCGAGACTGACGCCGCCCGTTGACGTGTACACCAGGTGGCTCTGGGGGTGAATCCACTTGGGCCATTCAAGGATCGGCCCCCAGGCCTCCAGGCTTACTCAGGTTTGCGGAAAACCTAGCCTGGAAGACTGGGGATAAAACCCTGAAACACAACCCCGACACCCGGAAACCTCCCCCGGTTTACGCCCGATTCCGTGCACTCTGGCGATGTGGCTGCACAGACAGGCCGTTGAGGGAGTCGTCATGGGGATCACGGATGTGCAAATGACGGAAGCCAATCAAAGCCAAGGGTGGTGGAAGATTTGCATAGGGAAGACATCATGGGGCAGGGCTCAACGGCTGGCTCGGGCATACGTTAAATCCGACCCGACCTTTGGAGTGGTAGAAAGGGTCGCGGGACGTTGCGAGGTGCCACGTCGCCACTGCGTGTCGCCGTTGCGGGACGCTTATACCGTCCCGCGCCACCGTAGGGGCCGGCAACCCACGAGCGTGTTTGCGGGAGGCGCCTTAAGTACTGCGTTCCGTTCCTGGCACTGCGCAGTTTGCGCGGGCACCACAGCGCGCGCGCTTGCGGGCCCGGTCTCGCTTCCAGAGGGCGCCCGCTCGATCGCGGACGGTGCGCTCTTGCCCCCCCGTCAGCTGCAAGCGGCGCCTGCCGCCGTAGGCTCGTTGACCCGTTGGCGATGCCCATGGAGCCCAATCCGAAGGTTGGCTACGTTCGTTTTCTCGACAGTGCTTGCACACACCAGCCCCGATCTGCGATCGGCCGCCCACCACTCGTCCACTGATCTGTCGACTGCTCTGATTCGCCGACGATCTGTCAACAGAATGCCGACATATCACCTTTGTCACAGATAAGGGGTGCCCTTGTGTTGCCCCATTGGCTTTCCTTTGCTTTTCCTCGAGTCTACTTGCGGCAAAAATGCATGCTTTCAGGCACGATGGCGACCATCTGGGGGTGCACATATTTGTGTTACCTCGCGTTTGTGCAGCGCCTTTCGTTTGCCCTTTGCATACCTTCTGATCCCAACTACTGGTCAGCAGACACTATGAGGCCCAACTCATATCTTTGTTAACCCCTGCAAACTCAGCTCCGCATAGCCATCACCAGCAGAAGATTGTTGCTCAAGCCTTGCATACCCCAGGCTGCAGCCCTCGGTTTCAACGAGGCAGTTTTTTGGACAGTTTCGTATGGCCATCTTCATCTGCAGATGCTTCGGGCAAGGTTGCCATCCATGTTGTTGGTGGAGCCCAGGCACAGTTTTGGCACAGTTTACAAAAGCGATCAGGGAAGATCCATTGATGAACAGAGCAACATTCTTACAGTTGCAATATTTGCACACTGGCCCAATCTTGGCACATTCAAAAGAAGCGATCAATCAAGGCAGAAACATCGATGAACAGAACGACATTCTTGCAACTGCAATGTTTGGATGCTGACCCAGTTTGGCCATTTTTGACAAAAGCGATCACTGCAGATCCACAGATGAACACAACAACATTCT